TCCAGCTTCCTGATATTTTATCTGCGGTACATAATGTGTTTCATGTATCGCAATTGAAGAAATGTCTGCGTGCTCCTGAAGAAGCGGTGGAAATTGAAGAGCTTCCCCTCCATCCAGATTTGACTTATGTGGGGCACCCTATCAAAATCTTGGATGAGAAGGAGAGAGTGACGAGGAACAGAGTGGTAAAATTCTACAAGGTGCAGTGGCAAAACCATTCAGACGATGAAGCCACCTGGGAACAAGAGAGTTACCTATTGCAGCATTACCCCCACCTTCTCGCCGGCTCTGATAATTAGTTGCTGCGCCAAAAATGTATTCCCTACCTCTTTCTCACACTAGGCACATGAAATTTCGGGGCGAGATTTTGTTTTAGGGGGGTAGATTTGTAACACCCTCGGTGTTATATTGTACAGTTTTTGCTAAAACACTGCATGAGCATCATACTTATATGCAAATGTGTGTAACATAAAGTATAAATCAATGTACGGTACTTGAAACATTTATCCGAAACACGAAACAAAATTTTCGTTTCATGTCATTTTATATCGTTTAGTATTCTAAGCGAATTTTTATCGAATAAAAATGGTGTAGAACAGTTATGCGAACTTTAATAAAGTTGCAGTACGTACTTCGTAGGCGACGATGAAATAGGTGCAGTCGAGGACGAGGTTCGCTAGCTAGTATATCTAGTAGGTCGGAATTGGAATTCGACGCAAAACCGTTCGAAGTTTACGTCAATTCGTGTAAGTTTGAAAACGGGTCGACGAAGCCACGTTTGGCAATTTTTGTAGAGAGATCGGCTTAAGAAGTAGCGTGATGTCGTGGCATAGGTCGATAGCTATACGTACCCACTAGAGTATAGAAGAAGGGGTTTGGTGTTTGGACCTTCGGGTAGGGTTTCGCGATAGCTTTAAAAACCGTGCACGTCACCTATTTCGAACCGAGTCGTGCTGGCCGCGGTCACCGCCGCTGCTCGGTTTGGCGCCGCTGCTGGCTCGCCCAGCGCGCGCCACATCGCCGACCGCGTCCCCCCTGTCTCCCTATGCTAGCGCATCGTGCGTGGTCCTAGCGCTGCTGCCTCTGCTGCCTGCTGCCACGCGCTGGCGCGTGGTTCACATCACCACGGCTGACGCGCTGCGTCTGGGACGCCGACTGCGCCCTGCCTTGCTCTGGCTGGAAGTACGTCGAGTCCCACGCTACTGCTGTAGGCGAGCGTATCTGCCCGGCACTCGCACACATGCACGCAAGAGCACTGCGCCCGGGTCCTGGCGGCTCTGCTCCCCTTTAGCGCGTCTGCCGTGGCTGCTGCTCGCGTCGCGTCGCTCGCCTGGCGTGCCGTCCGGCACTGTTTTCCTGGTACTGCTCCCGTTGACGCCGGCTGTGCGCGCGTGTGGGCTCGTCCGGCTTGTCGCGTTCTCACGATTGCGCTCAAGGCCACGCCAAAGCGCCAGTCATTTCGCCTACAAGGTCGTCGGCCGGCCGAGGCACGCCAAGCAACCAAATCGATGCGCTGCCCTTTTCTGTGTACCGTGCACGTATGGCGGTCGCGTGGAAGGACGGCGTCGTGACAAACTGGTCAATGTGGCGGTGGTACAAGGGAAGGACGCAAATTTGAAATTCTATCACCACCGGCCGCCATAAGTCCTTAGGAGTCACCACTGAAATTGGCCTCAACCACTCCACCGTTTTCCAATTAACCGTGCCCACTGCGAGCCCAAATCGTTAGCGTGTGAGTGAAGCCGTCTCGGCTTTCATTCGGCTTTCAGTGAGGTAGGACGAGGCGTTTCCCTCGCGGCGGTCCGCCATGGCCGCCTGTGTGGGCGCACGACCAGAGCGTCGTGGGGTGCTTCGTCGTTTCAATTAGGTTGTGCCTTGAGTAATAGTTGACTTGGTTATCGCAATCGTGCAGTGGTTTCATCGGCTGAGCAGCGGGTCACCGGAGACGCCGTCGTTGTGCTCGCCGAGAACCAGCGTCACCTCGTGTTCGTGGCCAACCATCTTGCCGAGCCCTGCGCCTTTGCCCAGTCCATCCGTCACACCACTGGTGAGGTCCTCTTACTCCTAGAGTACCTGGTTGACTCGATTAGGGCTGGAGTGCACCGGAGCGCGGGGCTGTCCCCGGCGGACGTTGGTAGATGCCGTTTTCGTGGCCGACACGTTTGAAGATAGTAGCGAACCAATTAGAACTGCTACTTTGTTCAACGCAGCCTGCTGGTGGTCACCGAGTAGTATTTGAGGCGTTCAAGTAGGTGATTTCGTCGGCGTTGGGCTACCGCGGCCAGTCACTGCCGCGGTGTGTGGCCACGCCTGCGTGGTGCGCCGTTCTGGGCGTGTGTTACCTCAATCCGTTTCGCGTGGCACGTGGAAGCTTGTGGGGATGCTGGTGTGTGCCGGCGGGGTCGGTGCTCGCCGGCGTTTGGCCAGTGAGGTAGCGGCTCTGTTGAGTCCGGCCAGGGGCGTCGCGATGTGAATTTGAAGTAAATGAAGGGGTTAAGTGCTAGAGTCAGTGAGAGGAGGAAATAGTGGAATGGACTGCGCTGTCATTTGATGGGAACCCGAGGGCTCTTTTGCATATTGTGGCAGGCTTGTGCATGTTCATTCCCTTGCCATGGGCCGTCGTCTCGGCTGGCAGGCTTGCCGCATCATGGGCAGCGCGCTACGTGCCGCGTCAGCGCCGTTGTGGGGCCAAAGCCATGAGTTGGGCCGCGGATTAGAAATTGGTTTCTTCAATTTCCAGTAAAGTAGAAATGCTTATTCAATTTAGTTTTCAAGCTGAACTTTGATAAATTGTAGTAAGTTGTGTAGTTGTCCAAAAATAGTAAAACCAATTTTGTTAGGGTTGCAAAATTACCATTTACTTGTTAGTACAGTTAGGTTACAGTTAGCTGTGACGATGGTAATTTCATAAATTCAAAACTAAAGAGCTTAGTATTATGTTGATTAATAATTGTAGGAATTTGTGTGGTAAATCGGTGATAGTTATAGCTATAGAAATTTTACAGTAGCCTCACTAGATTATTATGTACTTGCTTAAAATTTCGTAGTCCTAGTATAGAATGCTAAATAGAGTAGCTATTACCCTTGCTTTATCGTATACAGCGTAAACTAGCATTAGGAGTAAGAACACATGTAGTTGCTATAATAATAATGAATGTTATATTTCAAACTTGTTATCGGTAACAATAGATAGCATAGCACTGTGGTCGGTAGCACTAGCTTAGTAGTTAAATCAATGTACTTTTATTTTAAGAATTGTTGTTGTTATATTCCTAAGCATTACATCGTCATTTCATGCATGTAGCTCACGAGCTAGTAGACTTCGTGCCCGTCGGCGAGCCGGAGTACGACGAGGTGATCAAGGAGTACGAGGAGGAGATTCTCGTGCAGGAGCAAGCCCCGGAGCCTGTTGGTGCTGACCTTACTGACCCGTCGCCTGCCCAAGGCAAGCCCCGGTGCATAACCTCTATTTTAATGATCACTGAATATATATATATATATATATGATGTGCATTTAAGTTACAGGCATTTTATGAAAACTACATGCATAAATATATCTACCCATGAGTCCTACTAGTACAGGTCGAGTAGTTGCTATGCTCAGGATATCGGTAGCGTGAGTAACCTGCCGTTACTCGTAAGTAGGTGATAAATATGATCACTCATGATAAAAGGGTAAAGGTAAATGGTGACCGGACAGGGATATGGTTTGGGCATTGGTGGATGTAAGGGTTTGTGTCCTGCGGCCAATAGGGCATAGCTCGGTTACACTTTTTTTTCCTGTCTGTGTCGATTAAGGACCGGTCGTTGCATATGACTATAGGCAAGTCACAGATTTATTGTCCTGAGCGCATACTTGGGTATGGGCGTAGGGAAGACTTGTTGCTCTCTTGTTGCGGAACCAGCTCTTTTCGGATCGACTGATTGGAGGCGGAGATGGTGGAGGTCCTTCCACCACACTAAGTCCGGGACGCAGGAGTGGGGGCTTGGAGTCCAAGTTTGAACGGGGACCTGGACACCCGGGACAGGAGAGTGATGGGTTAGTCCTGCTTGTGCCTGGGGTACAAGCGGGGCGTGTGTTTTCGGGGCACCCAGCTGGGCACATTGATTCGCGAATCGCCGAAAAATCCGGTACGGCTTGTCTGCGGTTTAGCACCGTAGTAAGAACTGAAATTTGAAAGAAGAAGAAATAGAACTGATTGCTCAACTCTTGCTTGAAAGTAAAACAGGTGCTTATATAGACTGGCTAGATGATAACTTAATCCGGCTGATAATAATACATAAATAATGACTCACTATTAGTATCGCTTTTTGTCAAAAGAAACCTGCAAACCATAAAGCTTATCATATTCCTTGGAATCGGATAAGTCTTGCGAGTACATTGTGTACTCAGGATTTATTTACCTCTGTTACAGGTGATGCATGAGAAGTACCTTTGTGTGGAGGATCCTTCTGATGGGCTCAGACGGAATCCTCGTTCCGATTGCTAGATGTTTATTTAAATTTTGCTGTTTATCATTCCGCATTGTGACATTTGGTATTGTAATAATGCACTTTTTGAGAAAACTCTGATGTATGAAATGGACAAATATTATAACTCGTTTTCATTATTGGATTCTTGAGAAAAATATAGATCTTTCGGGTTCTCCCTTGGAATATGCTCGACGAATATTGCCCGTTGTAGCTTGCTTTCGAAGTGCTTAGTGTCTGATGAAAGACGAACCGCTGTAGCTTGCTTTCGAAGTGCTTAGTGTCTGGTGAAAGACGAACACCTTTGTAAGTGTGCTATTTCGGATGGTTCTGTCACAGATGGTACCAGAGCCAATAATGATTACGAGTTCATCACATTTTTTCAAAACTTAAAAATTTGAACCAAAAGAAGGGCTCGTGTCTTCTACAACAGCGTGAATTTACAGCAAAACATCTGTACCGGTGAGTGCGAAACGACCGAGCTCGCGATGCTGCCAGCCTCTACAGATGTCGTCAGTCTATGCCTACAGCTAGAGCGTCATCTCTGCCTGAAGTCTGGTCAGCTCGCTCAGATCACTGCCCTGTTTAGGAGCGGGCGCCGCTGCCGCTTTTGCTCTCGCCGACTGTTCCACGGGTGCCACGGACTGCCTCGCCGGCGGCTCAGGCAGCTCGTCCTCGATCTCTTCCTCCTCCAGCTCCTCCAGCTCCGCTTCCAGCTCATCCTGTTTTGTTTTTGCCCAGAAACTAGTTAGAGAGAAATAAATGGGTTCCATGCAGGACTCTCCGGGATCGACTATGCATACAGTGGGTGCACTTCAAGTTGATGACTGGGGTCTGGAACTCTGGATGCTATGAGCTTGTACCCAGTTTAAAGGGAGGGGAAGTCATACAGTACCTCGTCGAAATCAGCAGAAGCGCCAACTGGCGTCGCGAGCGCCTGCTGTATCTCCCGCATGTTCTCTGTCTGTTCGTTCGCCTCTTCAATGGCGCTCTCAATGTCGTCAATATTCCTGCACAAGAAGAATTGCCACAAACAGTTTGTCCAAGTGGCGGTTAATGCCATTTTAATTAATATTAATATAGTAGTAATAGTCTACATGAGAGCTATCAATACATGAGTTGTGTTAGATTCAGAAGGTGCACAAGCCCAACAACATAAGGGCAGGAAATATTTAATCAAGAATGGGGGTTTTCATTGCATTATAAAAGAAAATGTAGAGAACGGCAACATCTTCAGATGTTACGTGTTACAGCTTAGTATAAACCATCGTAGGGCAGATGGAACCTTACACTGATTGTTGAATAGCTTTGACAGCAGATGATCCGGAGCGCAAAGCATCAACTGTGTCGGTAGTTGCCTTGGCGCTTTCAAGCATTATGATCTACATAAACAACTTACAATCAATTTATCGCACCATTTTTACAAGCCCCGGGATGCGTGAACCAAGTTCGACATTGTGTGCATATGTTTTTTCCTTTACCTGGTCATGAACTCGCAACTGAAAATTTGATAGCTGCTCAATTTGTGTCTCGTACAGTTTCTTTTTCTTTAGACACTGAATAGCAGCTGAAACAAACAGAGAAGGAATTTCACATACAAGCTTAAGAGCTATTGTTCGAGAGGAAAAAAAAAGCTAAAGAGCTATAAAATAAAAGATGAAAAGCATCACAAGCTTAGGAAGAATCCTTTTATGTTCCAAGCACAGTGAGAACACAATATAATCTATAATGTTGTCTAGACATTCAATATCACTAATCTGTAGTTTCTCTTTGCTTTGCGCATTTATCAATAGGCTGTGTGCAAGACGTTAAATCAAAGTTAGTTTCTTTTATCACAACTGTGAGCTCTGTCGGTTTGTCGGTTTTTTGGTTCGGTAACCTCAAATTACCGTCCCAGCTTTAATTTGTAAAACTCTTCTTCGAGAAAAAGTTAGTTTCTGACCAAAACACAATGAGGGAACAAGCATTCTTCTATACAAGCCTTTTGGTGGCAAAATTTTCAAAGATTAATGATAAGCAAGCAAAATTTGCATATTTAACAATTAAGAATGACGAATTATCATAAGATTGTAACAAAACACAAAAATAGCAGATGTGTTTGCTCTGGAGCAACGTTCATTACCATTCTTGTTCTTCAATTTTGTATAATCCTTAGCCTTTTCGATTTCTGCAGAACATTTCTTCTGTAGGAAACGCTCTTTCTTCTCCAGCATTTCTAGAGTCTGCACACATGAACGGTACAAAAAACACACCAATGTGAAAGGTAAATCTAAGGTAGCAAGTTAATATCTAGGTACTGCAGATATAAATTGGTGATCTGTTGGCAATAGCTGATGATGTAGACCGAGGGGCAAGATCACAGAACAAATAATCCACAATGTCAGCATCGAATGCTATACTTTATTGTGTCCTTAAAAAATAGATGAGTGCTGAACAATAGAATTGAAGGGCTGACCATCTTGAATTTAACTGACCATCCTGCCTAAAGGTCAAGCATTCAGGACAGGCTGGCAGCTTATGCCAAGAAGGACCTCTTCCTCTCTCTTTTTCAATATGAGGACTCCGAATCATCTCTTGTTTTATTCCACTCTTATCTTATGGAAATCCATTCAATTCAGAAATACACATGATTACGTTACAGCAGTCAGCTGAAGATGGATAGGCTGTTTTATGACATTGGTTTTAACATATACTTCCACAATGTTGTGTTAAAAGCAAAAGAGTACAAATAGAAGGAAAAACAAGAGAGTTCTTCTAGCATACTCTTAAGAAGGGGGGAGAGAGCCCATTCTAAGAAATAAGAACTCTTTATATTTTAGAGGTGACCAGTTTCCACTTCAAAAAAAAGTATTCTTGATGAGAACATATTAAACCTCCATGAACTGCACCCTCGAATCCAGTCCTATCTTGCCAGAAAAAGGAGTAATATGTAATAGTACTGCCGCTTTTGAACAAAATAATAGTACTGCAGCTGATATATCACTATTGAAGGATCACAAGCGCAGCAACAGTGAAAACCAGGAACGGGGAAGATAAACAATGAATTAGGTATAAAGGGGATGAAAGACCTCATGGAGCCGATCCAGCGTGGGTATGGCAGAGGAGGCAGACTCCTTCTTCTTCTTGCTCTTAGTCTTTGGCAGCAGTTTCTTCAGCATCTTCTTGCTACTCCCTGCTGATTCTCCCTCTCGTCTGATGATGGCCTGTGTACGAAGGAATAGGAGGGTGATGAACTAGAGACAGCCTTCTCGAGGGAGAAGGGAAAGTGAGGAAAAGAGGTCGTCAGAACAGAGTTCTTGAGAATAGTAAGTATGAAGAATATGTAGGGGCATCATAAAGCATGTGACGGGAGACAGAGAAGGACTTGTCTGCTTAAAGACAAAGACGAAAATGATTTTTAAAAAAAAAAGACAGACGAAAATTCAGTTTCAATGATGTCACTATCTTAAGATGCTTTACTCCATGTTAGACGGTTTGCCAACTTGTGATTGTGACCACTTTTCGTTAGAGCTGGTGTTAATGTGAAATAAGTTTTGGAGGAGAAAGTCAAGCTTTTGTTGATACAAGTAGAGACAACAATACTAGCAACTTTCAAAAAGAATATCCTGGTGCCCATTTGTTTGAGGCTTGAAAACATGCAGCAACTGAGCAAGGGGTGTGCGCGCGTCAAGAGTCATGAGAGGAACCTTGAATTCACAGGCTGTAGGTCGTATAGATATTTATCATCTTTTTACTGAACAAAGTCTATGTGCAAGTCTACAAGACAACAGTGGTAGCATTTCCTTGTAGTAAGAGAAGTTCCTTTAAAAAGCCAGAATTATAACAGCCACACATGATATCTATTTAGGACAGTGACAACAGAATCGGCATATTAGGGAGACGACAGAGGAATGATGTTGTTTTCGGTAGCAGGTATGTTGGATTAGGTCGGTCTAGCAACCTATTATATAATTTGGCGTCTTCTTACTTGGAACAAGCTGTGAATCTTACACCATACCACTCAAAATTCTTTTTCCTTAGACAAACTAGCGAGGTAAAGTAAGTAGCCATCTGCTTTTCCTTTCAGGACAAGTAGTTGAGCTGCCATTCCTTATCATCTGTGGCTTTCGAGAAACTACAATAGACGCGTAATGAAATTCGCCCATACAGCTAAGAGCTGAATAAAGGGGTATTCGATCCCAACCCATGCCTTCTATCATGAAAGCATCCAACTTTCGCAAAAAGGGGTTGGCAGATTGGGAACACTTCTCGGTTCCCCTTTCCTCTTTGTTAGCTGCATAGTCGCCTACACGGATCCCCTCCCTCTCTTCCTAGTGTGATGCTACGCAGCAGCACAACAAAGTAAGTGGCGCGATAGGATTTGGTGACGAACTGACTGCGTGGTAGAATAAAGGAGGTTGCATCTCAAGTGCAGACGCATGAGCGTAGCCGTGGGATACCCCCGTCGCTTACCCCGAACAAAACCAGCTTGAGAAATCCAGAAGCACCACCAGTGGAGTCGGATCCCCGCAGAATCAAGCGAAGGCCGCCTGAATCGACGGAAAAAATAGAGGCAGTTAACATGCAGGTGCCAGCTATTTGCAGCAGCAGCAGCAGCATTTCCGAACAAATACAGCGGGTGGAAAGCAGAGAGGGCCAACGCACCCCGAACGAACAGCCTCGCCTCACCACCGCGCCTCGATGCACCCGCCGCCTCGTGCCTGGGACTGGGAGCGCGCAGCAGATCGCCGATGGGGAAGCGGAGCAGGAAGCGGTGGCGCTGCCGTGAGTGAATAGGCGGCGGCTGCAGGCGCGGAGCCGTGGAGCGGTGGAGGTGGGAGCGCAGGGAGAAGGCCAAGAGCCCAAGAGGCTCTTCGTCACTGGAGAAGGCCCACATCGGTATTCCAAGCAGCCCATGTGAAGCCCATAAACGCAGTTTCATATGTAGAGCACAGAAAGAACCGACCGATTAACCTAGCTGGTTTGCCCAATTAAATGAGAACCATGCATATTTCCTTTTTCTACCTCTCCCTGGTCATGGAATCAGCAAATTTATTAATATAATGTTGTGCGTTCCAATGTAAAATCCCAAGAGAATCTCTGGTAGCAAGAAGTGATCATAACATCAGGCCCATAAATAGTGGCAGATCTAGAAAAGTAAGTTAGAAATGGTTTCTCCCATTGTCTTTTATCTCTAGTCTCTTTTGTACAAACTTCCATGGATACCCATTTGTAGTGGGGCTTAGAAGAGGCTCCATGCTTTAAGTAGCGGTACTAGGGATTCGAACCCACCTCGCCTTGATGCCAGATCCACCCTTGTAAATAAACACATGAATTAGCAGTATATAGCAAAAATAATATATGGGATGGTAACAACAAGACCATGATTGCACTATAAGTGCCTGGTAGATATATCTACTGCAACTTATACTAAGGTACTAGATAGATTTTGCATCTTGAACCCCAAATAGCAGGCTACTTACCAGTTATTATCACCTTAGGGCTTGTTTGGTTAATCTCCAAACTGAGACGATTGGAAGGGGATTGAGAGGGATTAAATCTTTTCATAAGGGCTTGTTTGGATACACTTGTATCCCCCCCTCAATCCATACATGTGGAAGTGGATTGGAGTGAAACTTAGATTAATTTTCATCCTAATCCGCTCCAACACACGTGTATCAAGATGGATATGAGTGCATCCAGATAAGACCTGAAGGCTTGTTTGGATGCACTTGTATTCACCCCAAAACACATGTATTGAGGTGAAAAATTAACTAATTTCTACATTGATTCACTCCAACACACGTGAATTGTGATGATTACGAGTGCATTAAAACAAACCCTAAGTCAACATCCCCCCCTCAATCCTTTTTGACTCCCTCGATTTAGAGATTAACCGGACAAAGCTTTAATTTGCACCCACCCATATGGACATGAAGAAAACGAGCAGATCATGATTGGACTTGAAAATGCGAGAATCGGATGGTATAACCCACAAGCCCATCCGCTAAATGACCTTTTTCTGAATAACACAGGAGATATCCTAGCTAGTGCAATATAGAAGGGGAAAAAAGGGGAACTAGGGTCAGAATAAACAAACCAAAGTCCTTGGACCATAAATTTGTAATGGTGTGCTATGAATAATCAACCGGCACAACATGTCGCATACAAAAATGCTGAGTTAACATGTCTACTATGAAATGTTATGATAGTAAGGGTTTTTTTCAAAAGGAAATGGATGAACACAAAACGTAATGTCAAATCAACAAGGTTCGAGTAAAAAACAACAACATGTTGAAGCACAACTTACACTGCACCTCTGATAAAAAGCATGATCGTTATTCTTCTACTAGCTAAAGAAACAAGATAAGAAGCCGATTTTCCCATGGCACGTCCTATTTTTACAATTCAACTTTGGAGGTGCAGGTTAACTATGTAATTTGTAGATTAGATGAAAGTAATTCAAATGTTATATCAAATACGCCCCACATCCCAAATTTAAGACGATTTGACTTTCCAGATACATCGTTTTCACTATGCATCTAAACATAGTGTAAATCTAAGTACATAGAAAAACTATGAATATAAAAAAGCTAAAATGCCTTATAATTTAGAATGACGGGAGTATAATCCAACTGATAAACAAAATGTTTTCTAGAGCTATGAATACCCACAGCTCTAGCAAATCCATGAAGATGCAAAATTTGTGGTAGAATCCATGTCCTACATACTATAGTTTTCCAAACGGGCGGCACTGGCACTACATGGCACTAGCACTACACGGCACGACACTATCAGGCACGGTGTCACTGTCGTGCCGTGCCGTGTAGTGCCACCGTGCCCAGACTCTGGCCCAGGCACGACACTAAAGCCCTCAGATAGTGTCGTGCCGTGCCGCAGGGCACAGCAGCCCAGCGGACTAGTGCCGTGCCTTGGCACTAAAACTCCTCGTCGTTTCCGGTCATCCCGCAGAGGCGCAGCTCGTCGTTGATGGTCATGGAGAGACCGATGTCCTCCTGCTCGTCCGACATCTCGTCGTCGCCGGCCTCCGGTCCCTCAACGCCAACGCCTACCAAAACCAAGAACAACAAGAACACCTAGGGTTAATAGAAGATCATGAAGAAATCAAGAAGAAGAAAAAAAACGAACAGATCTAGGGTTACGGCTCACCTCTCTTGACAGAGCACCAAAGACAACGGCGACGACGACGTCGTGGAGACCCGACACCCTGGTACCTCAACGCATCAGAGCGGAGCCCCAATGATGCCGGACTCCGGCGAGGTTGATGAGAGCGACGAGACAGAGACGAAGATGAACAGTGGTGGATCTCGACGAGAAAGCTACATCGACGGTCAGGGAGAAGGAAGAGTGGTGTAGAAGGCCATGCCGTGTGCCCGTGCCAGCAACCACCGCCTTAACCAGCCACCGGACGGCGGGAAGAAGAGAGGAGAACGGCTAGGGTTTCAGTCGATGGGAGAGCTCGATGCGGCCATGCGGTTGGAATGGGGACGGAATGAGCTAGGGTTTGGAAAGGTGGGGAGCTATCGTGCCCGTGCCCGTGGCGTGTTATCGTGCTGGCATCGCGGCCCAAGCACGAGCACGGGGCCGTGCCGTGCTTGGCACGGGCACGGTAGCTGCCGGGCCGGGCCGTTTTCGTACCGGGCCAATTCGTACCGTGCTCGTGTCGGCCCAGCGGGCTTGGCCCGTTTGGAAAACTTTACTACATACCAGCCACGTGGAGGTCGAGCTCACAACCACAAACCATGCACGAGTGCATGCAAATGCAATGCAAGCAGAGTTCCGGCCGGCCGGCCAAGAATAGCAGCTCCGTCCTCGCTCCCATGGATCACTCGGCACCCCACACGCGCTTCTCCCCCATCCCCGGCGCGTAACGTCCACCAGTGACCGACCGTCACATCAGCCATCATCGCCGGCGGTGATCGACGAACGAGCTAACAATCGATCGACCGGCCGACGAGCGAACCGAGCGGCCGGCAGAGAGGATGGCGGCGACGGCGGTGGCCGACCCGCTGGCGGAGCTGTGGAACCACACGATGTCGGCGGGCCGGTCGGACCTCTTCTGCTTCGACACGAGGAAGATCACCATGACAGGCATCTGGACGGGGGACAACCCGCTGGACTTCTCCCTCCCGCTGCTCCTCTTCCAGATCATCCTCGTCACCGCCACCACCCGCGCCGTGGCGCTGCTTCTGGCGCCGCTCCGCCTCCCGCGCTACATCGCCGAGATCCTGGCGGGCTTCCTCCTGGGGCCCTCCGTGCTGGGCCGCGTCCCGCACTTCTCCGACATCGCCTTCCCCGTCCGCAGCATCTTCATCCTCGAGTCCATGTCCCTCATCGGCCTCGTCTACTACACCTTCACCATCGGCGTCGAGATCGAGCTCCACACCGTCCTCCGCGCGGGCTTCCGCAGCTTCTGGTTCGCCGCCGCCTCCGCGCTCCCGCCCTTCCTGGTCGGCGCCGTCACGGGCTACGTCGCGCTCTCCAGCGCCGGGGACGAGGACGGCGGCGGAACGACGACGGCCGCCAAGGCCGGACAGCACTTCCTCAACCGCCTTTCCTTCCCCGTATTCCTCGGCGCCACCTTCTGCTCCACCGCCTTCTCCGTGCTGGCGCGCAACATCGCGGAGCTCAAGCTCGCCGGCACCGACGTGGGCCAGCTCTCCATCTCGGCGTCGCTCATCAACGACACCTTCGCGTGGGCCGGGCTCACCGTCGCCACGGCGCTCGCGCACGTCCGCTACGGCATGGTCCCTTGCCTCTGGACGCTCGTGTCGGGCGTGCTCATCGTCAGCGCCAGCTACCTCGTGGTCCGCCCCATGCTCGTCCGCCTGGCACGTCGCGTCGCCGAGGGCGAGGTCGTCAGCGAGGCGCACGAGTGCTGGGTCCTCGTCGGCGTCCTGGTCGCCGCGCTCGTCGCCGACGCCGGGGGCACGCACGCCATTTTCGGCGCCTTCGTCTTCGGCCTCGCCGTGCCCAACGGCCCCGTCGGCGTCGCCATCGTCGAGAAGGTGGAGGACTTCGTGGTGGGCACGCTGCTGCCGCTCTTCTTCGCCATGAGCGGGCTCCGCACGGACACCGCCAAGATCACCAGCACGCCCGCGGCGGTGCTGCTGATGGTGGCCGCTCTGGCCGCGGCCATCCTCAAGGTCGCCGCCGCCGTCGGCGTCGCCGCCGTGTTCGGCATGCCGCTGCTCGACGGCACCTCCATCGGCCTGCTGCTCAACACCAAGGGGATCATCGAGCTCATCATCCTCAACATCGGCAGGAACAAGCGGATCATGAGCGACCAGTCGTTCACGGTGCTGGTGTTCATGTCGGCGCTGATCACGGCGCTGGTGACGCCGCTGCTGGCGCTGGTGGTGAAGCCCGCGCGGCGGCTGGTGTTCTACAAGCGGCGCACCATCGCATGGCCGCAGCCGGACGCGGAGTTCCATGTGCTGGCGTGCGTGCACATGCCGCGCGACGTGCCGGCGCTCCTCACCCTGCTGGACGTGGCGTCGCCGTCCGACCGGTCGCCCGTGGCGGTGCAGGCGCTGCACCTGATCGAGTTCGCGGGGCGGTCGTCGGCGCTGCTGCTGATCAACGCGTCGGCGCCGTCGTCGTCGTTCGAGCACTCGGCGCACCGGCGCAGCCAGGTGGAACTGCAGTTCAAGCACATCGCGCACGCCTTCATGGCGTACGAGGAGAACGTGGCGGGCGTGTCGGCGCGCACCATGGCGGCCGTGTCGCCGTACGCGACGATGCACGACGACGTGACGTCCGCGGCCGAGGAGCGGCACTCGGCGCTCATCCTGCTGCCGTTCCACAAGCACCGGTTGGTGGACGGCGGGATGGAGGTGTTCCACCCGGCGATCCAGCCGCTGAACCAGAGCATCC